AGAGAAGTAGGGGTGAAGGGGGAGAGCTGTCAGTCAGTTTAGATATACCCGCAACAAAGAAATTCTTCATATGTGCACCCCTGAGGCACACACGAAAAACAGCAGTAAAACTGGGGCAGCAAGGGAAAGGGGAGAGGGAGGAAAGGGGGGAGAATGAGTGGAGGGAGAGTAATTGGTGGGACCACACCTACAGTGCATATTACAAGGGTACATGTGAGATTTACTAGGTGTAGAATATAAACGTGTTAACACAATAACTAAGAAAATGCCATGAAGGCTATGCTAACCAGTTTGATGAAAACATTTCAAATTGTATATAAAACCAGCACATTGTACCCCATGATTGCATTAATGTACACAGCTAAGATTTAATAAAAAAAATAAAATAAAACTGGGGCGGCACCTGTGGCTCAAAGGAGGAGGACGCCGGCCCCATATACCAGAGGTGGCAGGTTCAAACCCAGCCTTGGCCAAAAACTGAAAAAAGAGCAGTAAAACTACAACGTTACTTAAGAGTCACAGCCAAGGTAAGAAGCCTTAACTCACACAGAGAGCAGAGAACATGGACATCCCGCTGTAGAGGACAAGTCGCTAAGTGCTGACAATACCCAATCAACTCAGGAAACATCTGGTGATGTTTCTTTCTCAGGGAGAAAGAAAGTTCAATGGGATCTGCAGGACATACAGACACACACCCCAGGACCTTCGTCACCCTGACTGACGGTTCCATCTCTTCTGGGTACCCAGGCCAGAGAAAGAAGAGGTGTGATGGGAAGAAACTCAACACTGTCAGCTTGCTGGCCTCCAAAAGCCTTCCCATTCCAACTGTTCTGCCTAGCATCCTGTTCTTTTTCCTAGTATGGACTCAAATATTCTCTGAGACCCTCAGGAAAAGTTCCCATGCAGTGACTTCCCAGTGTTTTGAAATTAGGGGTAGAGGCCAGGTGTGGTAGCTCATGCCTATAATCCTAGCACTCTGAGAGGCCAAGGCGGATAGATCGCTTGAGGTCAGGAGTTTGAGACCAGCCTGAGCAAGAGCAAGACCCTGTCTTTATCAAAAATAGAAAAATTATCTGGGCATGGTGGTGCGTGCCTATAATCTAAGCTACCTGGGAGGCTGAGGCAGGAGGATTACTTGAGCCTGGGAGTTTGAGGTTTCTGTGAACTAGGCTGAGGCCATGGCACGCTTGCCCAGGCCAAAGAATGAGACTCTGTCTCCAACAAACAAAAAAGGAAATTCAGATAAAAAATCTGAGTGTCCTGGTCCTTACCATGACCCCAGATCCTCCTTGCTCACCAGCCCCTCTGGGCTTATCACTCTTTCCTCTCTGCCCATGAAACTGTCCCTCTGGATCATTACCCGTCTCCATTTAAAAGTTGCTTCCTCAGCGCTGGCTCAAGTTATGACCTAACCCTCACCCCAGCCACTCTCCATCTCATTGTTCTATTTTATTCTCCCCATATCTTTTCACTATCCTAATTCTTTTATTCAATTTCTTATTTGTTTACCACCTGTCTCTCCCACTAGAAGATAAACTTCACTAGACTATGCACTTTGGCCACCTTGGCAATCCTATTCTTCGCTACATCCCTAGCACACAGATGCTTAATAGGTCAATGTAACAACTATTGTCTGAGTGCTTACAAAGACAAAACAGTCAACAAAAAAAGACAAACTATCCACTCTCAAAAAGCTTAAATTCTTGTGGGAGATAAGGGGATTAATAAATAAAGTTAAAATAATATTTAATATTTCAACAAAGTACATACTAAGTGCAAGGTGCTGTTCTGAGCATCTCACAGGTACTATTTAATTTAAGGCTCCCAACAACTCCGTGAGGGAAGAATTATTACTATACAGATGGGGAAACTGAGACACAAAGAGGTTAAGTTACCTGCTGAAGACTGTGCTGCTCATGGTGGCAAAACCAAGGGATCCAAACCCACAGAGTCTTGGTACAAAGTCCATGCTCTGATTAAGAGCTACACTTCATATTTGCTGAGTGTCAAATAACCACTTGGTCAGCACCTTCAGCAGCTGTTCCCTGTAGGCAGGGCTGGAGGGAGAGCAGACCCACCAAGTAAGGGCTGCCCTGTCCTTTGAGCAGAGTGCTCAGTGAGAGACGGCTGGGCTTACCACCGGGCTCCATCCCGGATGAGGATTTTGCAAGGAAGAATGGTCTGATGAAATGACAGGGACAGGGTCAGGAGTCCTAGACCTGTCTAGTTTTAGGTGCCATGAGACATCAGGCAAGCCAACCAATATTTGATAAGTTTACGCTTTGTGCAGGGCACCGATCTAGACACTGTGAGGAGGCAGAGATGAGTTCAGTAGAGTCCTAGCCTCAGGAAGCTTAGAGTCACATGCATATGCATGCAGCTGAAGGAGGCAGAAAGTGACAGCCATGACAAGAAAATGTATAAACTGTTGAGACTTCAAAGGAGTTACCCAGCTTGAGAAGGCCACAGGTGTCCAACCATAAAAGAGGGGCCTGGGCTATGTACCCCCCAAGGTCCTTTCATTCTGACATGTTCTGACGGCACAGACTGGGAGCAGCACGGAGATCAAGTTTTATGCTGGTTAATAGCTCAAGTTCACTGAGTTGTCCTCCCACCTACCATGAGAACAGTCCAATTTCTTTGTGTAACATATTACAACAGAGGCAGGACAATAATGCTGCCATTTAAATAATGCAGCCCAATGCAGGTACAAAGCCCAGTGTGTTCTGCCCTCCTCTACCTCTAACTGGTTTGTAAACCCACAAACCCTCTTTAGTCAAGGAAGCGGGGACCTGTTCTATAAGCATGTTGTTCTAACACAGGGACTGCTTTGAGATAAATGATAAGGTCCACCCAACTGTAAACTCAAGAACAGGGATCCTACCTCATTTGTGTCATTTTCCTAGACACTAGCACAGTGCCTGGCTCACTGAATGAGGTGTGCTGAACTAAAGCTCAGCATGGCCAGGTTCAGAGATTCTCCACTGGACATCTAATTCAGCATTCCCCAATGTTTTGCTTTATAGTCGAGTAAGAGACTGATTTCATCTCTTACCTTCTACTGCTATCACCTCGGTCCCTCCAACTACCATCATCTCTTGCCAGCCAGCTGCAAGAGTCTGTCTCCTAACTGGTATGCCCATCTCTACCTTTGCACCTTTCAATCCTGTCTCTATAGAGCAGCCAGAACAATCTTTTAAAACAAATCAGATCCGTTTAAAACCCTCCCATGGCTCAACCCTATGGGATCCAGCAAAAGCACTACTAAGACGGAAGCTCATAGCAATAAATGCCTACATCAAAAAAAGCAGAAAAACTTCAAAATGCTCCAATGGCATCTAACTGTTCTTGGCATAAAATCCAAACTTTATTATAACCTAAGAAATCTTTTGTCTATTTAGAGAAAGCATCTCACTCTATCACCTAGGGCAGTGGCGGGACCATAGCTCACTGCAGCCTCCAACTTCTGGGCTCAAGGGGTCCTCCTATCTTAACCTCCTGAGTAGCTTAGATTATAGACACAAACTATCACACCAGGTTCTAAAGTCCTTTTTTTGTTTTTTTTTTATCCTACAGATTCTTACATGTCCTGGCCGCCACCCACCTTCACAGCACTTACCACTAATGAAATTATTGTGTCCACTTATTTAATTATCATCTGCCTTCCCTCCTCTTTGGAATGTCATCTCCAGGAGGGCAGGGACTGGGTCTGTCTTCACCACTGAAGCCTGGAACGGTGCCTGGTACATAATAGGCACTCACTATGGAATGAATGAATCTCCATAGAGATGACCGGCATTTACAAGGGAGGACCACTGATTCCATCAGAAAATCATGAATGACACGCTGGCATTTAATAGCTGGTACCTTTATTTATGATTCAAAGCTCTGCTTAAGATCCAAGGAGGCTGTTGGTATCTCTGGACACTTAAATGGCACAAGAGATCACTTATCACTTAGGGCTTAAAGCCAGGAACTAGAGCCCAGTGGTTGTAGCAGAGCTAAGAGCCAAGGTATTCGGGAACAGAACCTCAAGACAAACTCCAACTTATATCCAGGTCCCTTATTAACATACCCGGTGCCTCAATTTACCCTGCCATTGGCTGAGCATGTTTCCCTAAGTTTTGTGAGTGACAGGAGACAAAATAATTAACAGCTATAGCACACTTAGATCCTCAGATAGGAGGTGCTGCAAGCCACACGTCTCATTATACATAAAACTCTTGATTTGCTGCCAATCCTGCCCCTCTGGCCTTCCCGGGGCTACCCAGACAACAGGCACTGACTGCTCAGACAAGTTCAGCACACAAGGCAGAGGGAGGGATGTAAGGCCTAACAGAGGTTAGGTGTCCAGACCCAAGTGTCTTGGTTACCAGGTTCAAGAAAAAGGAACATGGTTGGAGTGGAGTGATGAAAAGGAGATGAGAAGTGCAATTTTGGGCTCCAAGTGGTTAATTTTGCAGGTTCACGTATACACACCTGCCACACAGGTGAGATACGTGCCTCCAGTGTGCACCTTCCAGGAACGCTCACCACGGAGAGGACAGTTCAATCAAAGTAGAGAGAGGAAGGGGGGCCCAGTAGCCAGACCTTGGCAGAATTAGTTTGGAGAAATATGGAGCGTCAGAATGCAGGGAGTGGGGCGCAGGTGAAGGAAGAGACAGGGGACCAGAGGGACCAGGAGAGTAGACAGGAGATGACAACCGCCCTTGCCGTGAGGTGAGCAACAGGGTGGGTGGCTTGGACACCTGTGGAGGCGACCCCCGAGCGAAGGTAAGGAAGGCAGGAGGATGGCCTGAGGCTGGAGGCGGCAGCAGCTGGGCTGGGCGAGGCCAGGCCCAGACCAGGGCGCCGTGCCGTCGGGGTCGGGCCGGTGGGTCCGAGCCAGGTCGGGGGCGACCTCCGTGGCCCTCCCCGGGAGACAAAGGGCCGGTGGCTCCCCAGAGCCCCGATGCGGCGCGGGCCGGGGGCTGCGGGCGCAGGCCGGCCTTGGCGCTTACCTGGGCCGCCCGACCCGGCTGGGCCGGCGGGGGCTGCGGGTCTGGGGCGCAGCGCGCGGCGGCCTGTTCCGGGGCGCACTCAGCCCGAGCAGCCGCGGCGGCGGCGGAGGCAGCAGCAGCAGCACCAGCAGCAGCGGGAGCGGCCGCCTCAGCCTCCGCCTCCCGCTCGGTGAGTCACAGCGGAGGGGAGGGAGGGAGGCGCCAGGCCGCCGAGGGAGGAACCGGCGGAGGGGGCGGCATCTGGCTCCGCGCGGGCGGCGGAGGCACTGAGAAGGCAACGCCCCGAGGGAGGTGGCCGCGGAGGGCCGGGCTCCGGGGCGGGTTCCGCGGAATGGGAGGGTCCTGGGCCCCTCATTGGTTAACTCAGCCTGTTAGGCGGGACTTTAGGATGAGGGGCGGGGCTTTTGCAGAGTGTGTGGGCGTTCATTGGGCTCTTCGGGCTGAGGAGCGTGGCCAGAGGTTTGGGGGCGGGGCCGCGAGGTGAGTGTATGGAACAGGGTCGCGAGTAGGGGCCCAGTCAGCGCTGCGACCAAAGGGGAGGAGTTGGTTGGGGGAGGCGGGTGGGAGCTTGGGGGAGGAGACGGCCCGAGGGAAGAGCCCGGGTATGGATGGAGCTGGCGCTGCGGTTATGCCACTTTTCTTGTCCCTGGCTGCTCCAGGAGCACGGTGATCCCGTAAAAATAATGGCCTCTCCCACACACCGATCCCTGCTTTAAAACGAGAGAAACCAGACGGGGCGGAATCCTTGGTGAGGCCAATTTACCCAGAACCCCGGAAAAATCTGAAATAGATGAGGTTGCCGGACATTTGGAGGCGTGGTCTTTCTGCGTTGTTGAGCTGCAAATGTTGCTGTCTTTGAATCTGGGGCCTAACCTGGCCAGCAGAGCCCAGAGAATATCGTGTGTGTTGGCAGTGAGTGCATTTTTCCGAGAATTGGGGGGCGAGTGTCCGTGATTAAAATGTTTCTACTGAAAGTCTGGCTCTATCTGGAGGGAGAGTAGCCCATTTTAGGCAAAATGTAAATTTAAAGAGACTTAATTCAAGTGTGATCTCAGTTTCAACACTTTGATTTACCAGTTACATAGCATGACACTAATCCCAATTCAGAAGCCTTCCTGTCCTGCTTTCCTCACAGCCACTCTTTTTACCCCTATTCTGTCCCATCCTCTTCCACTCCCGGCTACCTTTCTTCCCCTTCCCTAGGCAAGAATTCAGGATACTTTACTATGTTTATATGCCACAATTTCCATATCAAAATATCCCTCTTTTGATTTAACAACTATATGTTAATTACATTTGAGGCATATTTTAATTGTATCAAGTCATTAGATTATGAACTCTTTTTTTTGAGACAGAACCTCAAGCTGTCACCCAGGGTAGAGTGCGATGGCATCACAGCTCACAGCAACCTCTAACTCCTGGACTCAAGCGATTCTCCTGCCTCTGCCTACCAAGTAGCTGGGACTACAGGCGCCTGCCACAACGCCTGGCTATTTTTTGGTTGCAGCCATCATTGTTTGATGGGCCTGGGCTGGGTTCGAACTGCCAGCTCAGGTGTATGTGGCTGGCGCCTTAGCCACTTGAGCTACAGGCACCAAGTCTTACTATGTTGCCCTCTGTAGAGTGATGTACCATCACAGCTCACAGCAACTTCCAACTCCTGGGCTCAAGCTATCCTCTTGCCTCGGCCTCCCAAGTAACTGGGACTACAGGTGCCCGCCACAGCGCCTGGCTATTTTTTGGTTGTAGTTGTTGTTTGGCAGGCCCAGGCCAGATTCGAACCCACCAACTCCAGTGCATGTGGCTGGCACCCTAGCTGCTGAGCCACAGGTGCCCAGCCAGGGAAGGTCTTCTTCGTGGAAACTTTTTAAAATCTATGCTAGGTCCACAGCATGGCCATAAACTCCAGGAGTATAAGGACCATGTGACCATGGCCCACATCTACTTAGCATAATACCTAGCTCAATAAATAATACTGCATGAATAAACTAATGTAGTAAATGTTACACCCAGGATGTTCCCTTCCACTGGCCAGCCACGCCTGTTCCCAACTCCATGCTTTCAACCCTCTCCTTACTCTTCTCTCACTAAATTTATGTTCCTACATTTTCTCCTTTCAGCTTGGGGAGAGCCTCCATTTGATCTCAGAACATATATGTATTATCTTTAAATAGTTGCTTTCTAGGCTCGGCGCCTGTGGCTCAAGCAGCTAAGGCGCCAGCCACATACACCTAAGCTGGCGGGTTCGAATCCAGCCCAGGTCACCAAACAACAATAATGGCTGCAACCAAAAAATAGCCAGGTGTTGTGGTGGGCACCTGTGGTCCCAGCTACTTGGGAGGCTGAGGCAGGAGACTCACTTGAGCCCAGGAGTTGGAGGTTGCTGTGAGCAGTGAAGCCATGGCACTCTACCCAGGAGGACAGCTTGAGGCTCTGTCTCAAAAAAAAAAAAAAAAATAGTTGCTTTCTAGAGAAAAACAAAGAAAAAAGCACATTTTGTTTATACTAAAAGGATAATTGTAACAGTAAAATTTGTAGGCCAAGTATGAAGTAACAGTGGAGCCATAGCAGGCTGCAGGGAAAGAAAGCTCATATTTTAAAACAGTGAAGGCCTTATGAAAATAATGGTCGTCAAATTTTACTGCATAAGAAGTCCTTCCTGCTTATGAGTTGAGCAGATACAAGGTGAAAGTGTATGACTTAATAATTTCCAATACATAGAAAGTGAAAAAAAATGACATTTTGCTTCCATCTCTGTGTTTGTCTCCTGTTTGCATTTGGTACAGCTCTAACTTCTCTGAGGACAGACAGTGATAAGCAGGTCAAGTACACAGCAGACAAAGAGTACCACGGTCACATGCTATCCTCCTGTGTTGTGCCTTGGCAAATACTTGTCATCTAATTTTACTTTGCAGATAATAAGGAATTATTAAACACAATGATGAAAGTATTTTGTAGATCAGTGAATATACATATTTTGTGTCATGAGTAGCGTATATGCAGCTGTGAACATCTGGCTGGCTGCCAGCCTGCCCCTAGAGTGTTGGTCTTCGCAGCATCTGACGGGTACAGCCTCCCAACATCACAGAACCCTGCTTTTATGTGCTTGGGAAGAGTATAAAAAAATGATTATTCAGTTCTTTGACTGAGTGTTTTGATGGACCAACATGTCTTGTATTTTGTCTGTGCAGCCTGAAACATTCTAATCACCTAGTACAGACAAAGCAACACAAAACCTTAATTTGGATCCAAATGCTCAGCCTATTAGCTTTTAAATACAGCAGCCTGTTTATCACCTTGTTTCCTGCTGGTTATTGTCCAATTAAAGAAGGAAAAAAGTGACCATCCCTCAAAGCAAATAGGCTTTAATCTCTAGGAGTAAGTGACAAAAATAGCTGTCTTTCCCCCTCCCTCCCTGCATATATCATTGCTTCTCCTACAGGTTGATGTTAGAAGGATATCTGTGTATTCAGGTGAGAAAAGACCATTCCTGACAAGCAATTCCTTCCTCACCCTACTGAGTATGGTCTACCTGGTAATTTCTTGTAAACAAATAGCAGAGCCTGATGTTATTAAATATCTGTAACTTTGCTCCTATCCTTACCATTGTAAGATAGTAGCAATTTTCAAACCTACCTGAAACTGTAACCTTCCTCTTTCACATTCAGATCTAGGGGTTTTCTGAAATCCTATGCTATTTGTTTTTTTTTGTTTGTTTGTTTGTTTGTTTGAGACAGAGCCTCAAGCTGTCCCCCTGGGTAGAGTGCGGTGGCATCTCAGCTCATAGCAACCTCCAACTCCTGGGCTCAAGTGAGTCTCCTGCCTCTGCCTCCCAAGTAGCTGGGACCACAGGCGCCCGCCACAACGCCTGGCTATTTTTTTTTTTTTTGGTGGTTGCAGCCATCATTGTTGTCTGGCGGGCCTGGGCTGGATTCAAACCCGCCACCTTGGGTGTACATGGCTGGCACCTTAGCCACTTGAGCCACAAGCGCCAAGCCAGTCCTATGCTATTTGTAAGACTAAAGTCTAACTTTGCTGTAATGTGGCAGATACTTAGATTTTGCATTCAGTCCAGCCAAGATTGCTCAATCTAAATGAACTTTGTGATTTTGTTTTCTCCACACTCCTCACTTCACTTTCTTTATTAGTGTTCTGGAAAATTACTTCCCATCAGCAGTATTTGCCCCTAGCTGGTGAATCAGAGGGGGCCCTTTTTATAGTTAATAAACACTAACGGCTGAGGGCGGCAGATCTGCACCATGGTGCCAGCTAATGAAGAGCCTCACATGAAAGCTTATGCAAAGGGGACAGGCATGGTGCAAACGTCCTGGGATCCGAGATTACTCACTCTTCTCCCACACGCAGCAGAACAGATAGTAATTATTATTAATTATTTAAGCAAAGAACATAAGAGCCAAAACGGCAGTAAAAAAAAAGAAAGAAAGAAAAGAAAGCCAAGCAAAGGAAGCTGCACTCTAGGATACTCCACTGCAATCATTTTAATTAGCACAGGATACAGAGCCAAGGGAAATAGACAAAGAGACTTCATAGCAGAAGAATTTTAAAAAATTCTCTACCACATTTTCCTCTTTTAGTAATATTGTATGCATTGCTAACAAAATAGAACTGCTTCCACAGGCTCCCTGATATGGTCTCATAATGAAAAAGGAGGTGAAACCTTCATGAGATTTTCACTTCCAGTCTCAAACCTCTGTGACTCCTGGTAGGTTTTACCTACTCTGTAGATATCATGATACCTAGAATAGTTTCTTCCTATTAGATATGCTATTTTAAAAGTTATGAACTAAAAAAAACAGCTTTTACTTAATATTTTCAAATTCTTGGTGTTTCTATCACAGTCCAACCCTTCCATGTCGCCAACCTCCCTGCAGCTAATACGTTCATATTCCCTCCCATCATCACAGTTTTCATTTCTAATTCAGTAACATTTAGAAACCTAACTCTCATTATTACTGTAACTAACCTGGCCTTGACACTAACAAGAGACCGCGTTTCCTTTGTGGGTATCTCTTTCTGATTTGTTCCATATTCACACTACCTTACACTAAGTTCTTACAATCACACAGATTCTTATCTTCCCCTGACTTTTGTTCAAGCATATCCATCCCCTTTAGTCACTCGCTCACTCACTCAGGATATTTACTGCGTGGTTCCCAGGTGCATGGCACTGTACTAGGAAGGGACTGAAGCCCCAAATTACACCTTATTGCCCTTGCCTTTATAGTGGGTAAGACAGACGAGACA